CCCCCCCCAATTTGTCAGCTTGTTTATGATTTCGACGGGAGATTTCGCTTGGAACTGAAGGCTGAACTTCAAGACCAGCCCAGACATTTGATATAGTCTAACCCACTAACTGTCCTCATCCGACCGAAACCATGTCCCCACCAAAAAATCTGTTGCCACAGACTGTTGACCCTAGAGATTACTTTGTCGGGCCAGGGCTGAATGAGCTGATTGAGGAATTGACCTAGAATGACCGATCAAGTTCGCCTCCAGCACCTACTTTAGCCATGGATGCCATGCTGAAAGTGAAAATCACATAGACCCATTTGAAAGATGATTCGCATTGTCTAGTTTGTAAGGAGGAGTTTAAGATTAGTGAGGAAGTTAGGGAGATGTCGTGTAAGCATGTTTACCATTGTGACTGCATTGTTCCCTGGTTGCAAATTCACAATTCTTGCCCAGTTTGTCAGCATGAACTGCAGGCTTCGTTTGACAATGATCTTCGTATTGATGATGTTGTGTATTCTCAAAGGGAGGAGGTCAGTAACCGCCGTCGGCATAAGAACCACCAATGAAAGAAAAGTTTCAACTTTCAACCAAGGTAAAATTGTATTACTTCTTTATCTCATTCACTTACAGTGGTTGTTCTCACAGACCAAAATTGCGGGCAGATCCAAAAGAGCTACCATATGGAGTGCTTCAAACAACTGGACTTGATTGGCTGCACCATCATCGTACATAGAGAACGTGATAGTATTATCTTTGGAGTACTTCTGCACCAACAACTCCATGCACACCATAAAAGCTAGAGTCCTTGTAGAAATGCATGGATTCTCCCTTTCCCTTAGAGCAACCAGCTTGACGACCCATCAGTTCGCAAAGGACTCGAGAAGGGTCCCGCCTCGATCGAGGAAAATACAGTGATCCTCGGTAAGCGATGATGGTGCAATCCTTCTTCGTGATGGCTTCGTGATGGCAGATTCCATGCCAATGGAGATGGCTTCTTGGCCATCGTAGAGATGATAGAAACCGTGGATGAGCTTAGCCTTGTAGAGCGAGTCCGCAACAATCTCCACACGGTGCATGACAGCCATGTCTCTGAAAAAACTAAGGAGTACCTTTGGGGTGGTTTCGACAGTGCGGGTGGGTGGGTCGATCTTGTGGCCAGTGAAGGGGACACTGATTTCGATGGTGATGACCGAAGTGTCATCGACAAATGAGGAGAACGAGCGGCCATGTGGTGTAAAAAGAGTAAAATAGGTATTTTGAAATTTTGATTCATCCGTTTAATGTTTTCTATCTTTTTCATTCACGGAAGGGAAATTTTTGTTGAATTATTTAAAAATTTAGGGGAGGTTTTTGTAAAGTGAAAGTTTAGGGGAAGTTTGTATGATTGTCAAAACATTGAAGGGAGGTTTTTGTATTTTACCCTTTTTTTAAACTGGGGAAAATAAAATTAATAACCCGTGAACCGCTGCCAGGGTCGAACGGTTTAGCGGTTCGACTGTCCGGGTCAGTGTTTTTCTGACTTTTTCAACAGGTTTTAAGGATTTACCGGTTTATAGTATAATTGGACCCGAGGGCTGAACGATTACTAATTTTTCCAATCCGACCGTCCGATCCGGTTTTGAAAACCATGGTGCCAATGATTGATCGAGAGAGGGACGATAACTGTTAGAGTTCCTCACCAGCTAGTGCGCCAAAGATGAAGGTACCTTGCGTTAATGTCGGAGTGATTTCAAATACAACTACCATGGCGATAGATGTTACTCCAATTCTGTTTTCAAAGCAGAAGAAATCCCCCCAATTTTGTTATGGGCCAATTTTAAGCTAGGACCCACAAGCCCAAAAATATGGTGGTTGTATTCTGATGAGCCCAAAAGCTAAGAAGTTATCATCCACTATCAAGAATCTTGGCAGAAATTGCTTGACCCCCTGGTTACTCATTGGGACCTTAATGCTATCTACTCTTTAGAAGATAAAGTTGGAGGTCACAAGGTCACCGAGGCTCATACTCGCTTGTCTAGGGACTTCATGCATGATTATAGACTATTGGATTTGGGTTATTCTGGGTCATCTTACACCTGAGTAATAAATGGTCTACCCAATTCTTGGTCCATGAAAGACTAGACAGAGCTTGACTAGAGTGCTCTCTTCCAGGTGCCCACATCATGCACCTCTCGTACATTGGCAGTGACCACATTCCTATCCTCTTGTCTACTTGTCCCTCTCAACGATGCAACTCGTTTGTCAGAGTTTGAGCCCTTCTAGACTAAAGCACAAGGTTATGTTGCTGAAATGGGCAGAGAACAATGGGGACTCCCTTTCCAAATGCAAGTCCAATGTGATAGCTCTTGCTCGCTAGACTAACTCGATAATGGCAACACCTATAGTCATAAGAAGATTGAAGCTCATTTGTCAAACCTCCACTCATTCAATCCTTCAAACCAAGCTTTAGATGAGGAAAAGGCTCTGAGAAGGGAGCTACAAAGAAGAGTTGTATTGGCACCAAAATCTGGTGACCATAACATGGCCTACTTCCATACGTATGCCATGATTAGGATACGCAAAAATCTTTGGGGTTTTTACTGTTCATTCGACCCTTAGAAATCTTAGCTCCATCATACATATGAGATGAATCCTAATCGTGGATTGACGCAAAATCCATGGGTAGGATGCGGTTTATAGGGGGGGCTACTAGTAATAGACTAGGAGGGGGCTATAATTTCAGATTTCTGAGGCGAAGTCCAATCTACTTATCCCAAAATCATCTTATTCATTGACTCAAAATTGGTAAAGTGTGGACTTCTAACTCTAAAGAAATTTAGCATGGGTTTAAGAATTATTTCATTAACTTATTCACTAGTGGACCTGACCTTTATGGCTTACAATCCAAATTGTTCAAGCCCATTATATCAGAAGATGAGAATGATTGGCTTTCCTTGCCTCCAACCATGGAAGAAGTCAAGGCAACACTATCCAGCAAGGTTTTTAAAACCGAACTAGACAACGAACTGGTCAGGGGTCTGATTCCTGGGTCCACCATTCGAATCGAACGGGCAGTCTGTTCTAACAAAAAAAAATTAAAAAAAAAAATAAAAAGCAGTCAAAACCGTTGAATGGTTCGAACGGTTATATTGCTCGGCTCAACAGTTTGCTGACCAAATCAACGTTTGTTGGCAACATTCTGGTTTTGGGGAAAAACGGATCCAGTTCCCGATTTTTCCAGTCCGACCATCCGATCCGGTCTGATTTTGAAAACCATGCTATTTAGTATGGGCCCAACTAAAGCCCCTAGTTCAAAAGGCATTTTCAGCTCTATTATATCAACTAAATTGGGTTGTTATGGGCCTTGAATTGGCAGAAATTGTGCAAGAGATATTTCGGCTAATATAAAATCCATCAATAGGACTAACATTGTTCTTATTGTAAAGCAAGCAAGATAAATCAGATACTCCTGTGGATTTCAAGACCATAGGATTCTGTAACGTGATCTACAAACTCATCACCAAAATTATAGCTCAGGTTGAAAGAGTGTCTCCCTTGCTTTATCTTATATTTCAAAATGCCTTCTCCCCGGGAAGACAAATTGTAGATATATAACATGGTCATTGTTTAGGAGATTATCAATTATGAAACCTTAAAAGTCCAAACATGGTTTCTTCCTTCTTAAGGTTGATCTAGCCAAGGCCTACGATCATGTTTTTCATAGAACAATGCATAATTACCATGATACTTACCACCCTCATCAATGGGTGGATTGGTATTTCCCTCTCTCCCTAGTGTGGCTTAAGAAAAAGGTGTCCTTTACCGCCTTAACTCCCCATTTGTGTTAAGGCTATCTCTAGACTCCTTCACAAAGACCTATTAAATTCAACCACCTTATGTTGGTCGACAATCTCATTCTCACTAGCAAGGCTACCCCCTTGAAGCTGGCCGCTTAAAGATTATTCTTGACTTGTATTGTTTTTGGTCTAGATAGTTGGTAAATTTCAATAAATCCTCCATACTATTTAGCAATATCACTTCTTCTAGTCATCACTCTTTGATTGCTAGTCGCTTGGAAGTTAACATGACAAATAGGCTACGTTCGCTTTTCGGTAAGTTACTTACCCAAGTAAGTGTTTTTCAGGAAAGAGTAACCCGGTTAAGTGCATTTACCCATGTTCTTTTATTTCCGATATAAATAAGGCAATGACCATTTTATCCATAAAAATCCATTATTACAAGGGGTATTTTTGTCCCATTAAAGTGTTGGCAACTTTCCCCTAAGGTGGTAAAGTTATTTACCCACATAAGAGATGGGTATCACTTACCCCAGGAAAATAAACT